CAAGTACTAACAGCGTATTTGCATTCATTTACCAATAACTCGTATCTTACAAGTACTAACAGCGTATTTTCATTCATTTACCAATAACTCGTATCTTACAAGTACTAACAGCGTATTTGCATTCATTTACCAATAACTCGTATCTTACAAGTACAGCGTAGACTGCGACTCTGCCTGTGTCTGATCTGTGTTTTATACAAAACCACGAGAGGTTTCAGGTTCGCCATTGCCTTATTGTTTATTTCACCATTTTGAGACCGCGCACTACGTATTATCACAGTCCCTCTGAGGGACTGTGGTTTTATATATCATTACGATAAGATGGCATTTGAATCTCTTTCAAAGGAATGTAAAATAAATACTAAATAGCACACTGTAATAAAGGGGACAAATTAAATTTAAATTAAAATAGTCAATATTTATTTATCTATCCTTTTTCTATTTAGCTGGATCTTACTACATCCAGTTTCTTTTGAAATCATATCTTGAGATTGACCTTTCTGTAATATAATGTATATATTTTGTTTGTTCATGTTTGTTATATACATAAAAGTAAATAAATATAAAAGGGGGGGGGGGTGACGCCGTCGGCGACTTTTTAAACAAAGAATGGTAGTTTTAAAAGAATTGACGGCACATGTACTGAAACATATTCGGAGATATTTGTGACGCAGTATAACACGTGTCATTAACATTTAGATAATATGAGATGATACTTTTCACACTAAGTCTGACCAAACTAATATTACTTCACACTTGTTTATGTTCTTATTCTCGCAGGCAAATTGGTTCCTTTTCTTGAATACTCTGCCGCCCAGGCATCTGTGTTGACTCTGGTGTCTGTAGCTATTGAAAGATTTGTTGCTATATGCCACCCACTGAGGGCGCAATATATTATTACACCGTCGAAGGCAGTGCGGATATGTGTACTCATATGGTTAATCGCATGTGGATCAAGTATTCCATATCTGTTCATGGCGCAACACAGACATTATGACGTCACAGAAAATGGCGATGATTTATATGACTGTGGAACATACAACAATTCCATGCTAACGGAAATATACGTCATCTTCGCAGCTGTGATATTCTTCCTGCTTCCTTTGATCATGCTGGTCGGTCTTTACTCAAGAGTGTCAAGTACTCTAAACAAAAAGATCCCTTCTCAGAGTAACGGGAGGAGATCTGCAAGACGAGATACCCCAACACATGGGGACTATGTTGTCGTAATGCACATGTACACATTCATTGCAGAAGTCGGGGGCAGTTCATCGCCATATTGCTGCCCTCGTAAATCGCCTATTAAACAGAGAGGTCTAGATGCTATCCGCTCGCAAATGCGCATGCGTAAACGGGTTGTGTATATGCTGATCACTGTGGTGATACTATTTTTTGTATGCCTGCTCCCTCAACGTGTCGTCAGCCTATGGTTCAAATATGGATCAACGGACCAGCATATGGAGCTTGGCGTTGAGAGAGTTTACACACTCGTCATCGTCTGTCGCATTTTGACCTACGTGAACTCTTCAATTAATCCAATCATTTATAATATAATGTCGTCAAAATTTCGAGACGCTTTCTTACGCATTCTTGGAATCGGGCGTGTTCATGGTCAGGTGTCGGAGGGTTATCACTCTAACACGAGTAGACTTGGGCAGACCAGAAGTGATATTTCGAGGCAAGATAATAAAGGAACACGGCTCTGAGAACAATGTGTTTATTCACTCTCACTTGTAAACTTTGTTCTTCCCTATACAGAAGCTCCGAATCGATGTTCACAACGTACAAGGAGCAAGGAAATAGTAGCCGGAAAGAACGGTGTCAATTTATATTACCTGAAATTGTTTTGACATTCAATACATGGCACAGAAAACACATTCAAACAACATTTTGAGAAATATAAATCAATTAAATTATCAAACGATGCTCTACAGCCATGTATAAATAGATATACTGCCTGATACACAGGTCACGTGCCAAAGTCGTATTATCTTTGTTTAATGGCCACCTTTTAATTTGTATCAAATCTGGTCCAAACTTAGGGCGTGATAAATCAATATATATGGGTTGTGCAATTTAATTTTAATTTCAAGTACATTAAAATAATATGTACTGAATATGGTCTACAAAATGAAACAAATCTGGTTTTATATTTTAAATTCGAGTCATTGATAATACGTGGCACAAATATCGAAATACAATACTAGTACATCTGTCCTATAAATCGCGCCCTCTTGTGACGAAACGCTGATATGCTGTAACTGGGTGACATGCAGGCCATTCAAATCGAAGCAAAATCGTAGTCATCTTTACTTGTCTATCAATGATGCTGTGATTTTGATCATGAACCACATAAAAATCACCAAATCTTACCGAAATATTGTTCCAGACAATTCCATGGACAAAAGTGACCCTACACTAGGCCTCTCATATAAAATAAGACGTCGAAAATTGGAGTAGTCGCCATCTTTGAAATCGTTCACGTGACTGTAGGAATGATGGCACATGACGTACCATTGACACGCAGATCACCGCAAACGCAGATCGCCGCAGGGATCGCCGCAAACCAACCGATGAATAGCGCCACCTGTGTTGACACAATGATGACGTACACTATTATGTAGACTTGATTCCGATGAAAATG